CTTTCTCCTCCGGTAGAGTGTTCACAGCCTGTCCAGTCACAGTCACTGTTGGAGCCTTCCTCTCCACTGCCTGCTCCCTCTCCTTACACTGGTCCTACTGGTGGTCTTGCTGAGCGTCGTGAGCCTGCGTCTCGTCCTGCGTCGCCTGTTCGTGCTGCTCGCACTAGTGGTCGCGGTTCGCGTCAGCGTCCTCCTCCTGTCCCTGGCACGCACCGGATGTCTCTGCGTCCGTCCACTGCTCCTCTGCGTGCCCCTTTGCCTTCTCCTCCTGAGTCCTCTCTTCCTGCCCTTGCCGACCCGGAGTCGGACTCTCTTCGTGCTGCCAGTCCTACTGTCACGCGTCTGCTTGCTACTGTCGTCACTGACCCCTCTTTTGAGTCCACTGCTGCGTCTGCTCTAGTCGCTGAGCTCGTCGACTTTGCTGCTCGCTGTCGTCTAGACTACGCTGCTAGTCTTGTTGCTGAGTCTGCGTCTGTCTGTCCTCCGTCCGTCGGGGGTGACTGTGCTCTTGGCACGGACGTCCTAGAGGACAAGCAGGAGGAGTTACAATGTCTGGCGGCTGCTTCATCTCATCTCGCGTCTGTACTGCTTGCTCCTGAGGGAGACCCGGATGCACTTGACATCCCGACTCCGCGCTCTTACGCGGAGGCCGTAGAGGGTCCCTACTCGTCTCAGTGGCAGGCAGCTATGGATGCAAAGATGGCTTCCTGGAAGTCCACAGGCACCTACGTTGACGCAGTTCCCCCTCCTGGGGCGAACATCGTCAGTGGCATGTGGATCTTCAGGGTGAAGCGGCCGCCGGGCTCTCCACCTGTCTTCAAGGCGCGGTACGTTGCTCGTGGCTTCAGTCAGCGGCAGGGAGTTGACTACTTTCAGACCTTCTCTCCCACCCCGAAGATGACCACTCTTCGGGTGCTGCTGCACATAGCTGCTCAGCGCGACTACGAGCTTCACTCTCTCGACTTCAGCACTGCGTTCCTGCAGGGTAGCCTGCACGAGGAGATCTGGCTGCGCCGTCCACCTGGCTTCACTGGGACTTTCCCTCCTGGCACCCAGTGGAGCCTCCGACGGCCAGTCTACAGTCTCCGCCAGGCACCGCGTGAGTGGCACGACACACTGAGGACTACGCTTGCGGCTCTTGGGTTTGCTCCTTCTACTGCTGACCCGTCGCTGTTTCTGCGCACCGACACTTCCCTGCCGCCGTTCTACATCCTCGTGTACGTCGACGACTTGGTCTTTGCCACAGCGGACACTGCTGGACTCGCCTACGTGAAGTCCGAGCTGCTGAAGAGACACACGTGCACAGACCTGGGTGAACTGCGCAGCTACCTTGGCTTGCAGATCACTCGGGACAGAGCACGCCGCACCATTACCTTGACTCAGTCACACATGGTGCAGCAGGTCCTTCAGCGCTTCGGCTTCACGTACTCCTCTCCTCAGGCCACTCCTCTGTCTACTCGCCACTCGCTCTCAGCTCTGCCTTCGGATGAGTCCGTAGAGTCGAGTGGCCCGTACCCAGAGCTTGTTGGCTGTCTCATGTACCTGATGACCTGCACACGACCTGACCTTGCATACCCTCTGAGCATTCTTGCACGCTATGTTGCTCCTAGGAGACACCGACCAGAGCACATGGCTGCAGCGAAGAGGGTGTTGCGCTACCTGTGCAGTACGTCGGGCATGGGGCTAGTGCTTGGAGGGCGGAGTCCAGTGGTCCTTACAGGGCACGCGGACGCTTCTTGGGCTGACGACCAGGCTACGCAGCGGTCGTCACAGGGTTACACCTTCAGTCTTGGTTCCGGCTCTGTCTCGTGGCGGGCTACTCGCTCGTCTTCGGTTCTCAGCTCCAGTTGTGAGGCTGAGATCTACGCTGGGGCCATGGCTGCACAGGAGCTTCGCTGGCTCACCTACCTGCTGACTGACCTTGGAGAGCCGCCTCGTTCTCCTCCAGTGCTGTACGTAGACAACAAGGCCATGCTGGCCTTGTGTCGAGAGCAGCGTCTGGAGCACAGAACGAAGCACATTGCTCTTCGCTACTTCCTTGCTCGTGAGCTGCAGCAGCGTGGACAGTTGCGGCTTGCGTACGTGGCCTCTGAGGCCAACACTGCTGATGTGTTCACCAAGGCACTCGCGCCTTGTGACCATCAGCGCCTCTGCACCCAGCTGGGTCTTGTGCCTGTCTTGCCTCACTTGCTCTCCTCTTGACTTTACTTGTACTGTGACATATATATACCTGCTCTTGCTTGTCTAGCTTTATATATATATGTCTGTACTCCTGCATGTGAACTGACCTCTGGCCCTGCTCTTGTGCTTGGACTGTGTGGTGACGTTGTGATCCACCCTGAGCTTGCTCTGCTTTGCTTTACTTGACTGGTCTTGTGACCCCTTGTTCTCCCCCACTTTGCCTATAGGGGTGTGTCAGATTTATATGACATAGTTGCTGTAGGCTATAGCGGGGTAGCACATATGGGGTACAGGGTGTCTAAGGTTGTATTTGTACCCAATCTTTCCTTAGTAATTCTCATTCCTGTTCACTTGTTTCACACGCCAATATCACAATCAGTCGCTGCTTCTGGTAACCCGCGCTCCTCATGGGCACCGACCGAACACCATATTCCTCCATGGTGGTGGCGGCCGGCATCTAGCCAGAGCGGCGTCTGGTCCGCGTTGATGATCCATATAGACTCGATGCCGCGCTCGTGACGCTTGTTACGGACGAACTGCGAGAAGCTCCTGCAATGCTCCTTAAACTTACACCCTGGGGGTACATACCCAAGGTACAAACTTTCTCGCATGGTAGTTTACTGCGAATTTTGAATAGCTGGTGAGCGTTCCGAAACCTAGTCACGAATAGTCGTAAGCATTAAAAACTTCAGTCGCGTCACCCCAACCCCATCCTCACTCATACCATTTGGTGCAGTTTCAACAGAAGACACTTCATCTTCGCTGTCGACTAATAGTCACTGAGTTTCAGGGTGTCTGTCATATCGAGCTAGAATCGGCATAGGGCACCTTCAAGACAATAGGTAGGGGTATGCAATTATCGAGAATAGGGTGTACATGCACCCATAACAACAGTTCATTACAGAGAACACAAGAATTTTGCTCTCTTTTGTCGATGTGCCGCGCCCCCCGTGTGTCAGGCTCGAGCCACGAATAGAGTTGGTGCGCGAACGCGGAGTTCCCCTAATACACCCATATTCTCGATAGACTGGCATAAGTTAGACTGACTGAGTCGCCTAGTGTTACCGCATAGGACCAAAGAAGGTCCTAACACATGAGTCATAGTGACAATTTGAGCTAAGGCGGTCAGTCAGGGTTTCAAACTTTAAAAAAAGGTAGTGTCGTTTTCAAAACGGTTGGGACGGCTATTCAGCGTTAACGGTTTTTCACTGCCCAATGCTTCGTCACCTCATGCGACTTTGCTCGCAACCGAGTTATCGCACCAGCCCGCTACGTCCAAATTCTGTAGCCAGTGCGCGCGATGGTGAGAAGGGTGAGAGCAAGGGTGTACACTGTACTTCACAGTTGCGTGTGTACAGTTTGCACATTCATTTCGTACCGCACACGAAAAGTGTAGACTTCTCTGTAGCTAGCATCCAACATGGACACTAGTGCAGCTTGCGCGTCCTTTTGTGAAGTGGGCAGACGCGAAGCTTCGTGAACACTTATCTTCAAACGCTTCGAGATTTCAAACCTCTACACTACCATGTTTCGTCTTGTTTACGTATGACCCAGCCATATGTTCTCACACACCACACGTGGTTCCCCCTCACACGCAGGAACGGAGAGCAAGGGCATGGCAACAGTGCACCACAGTGAGATGAAGTCGATTGATATGGCAGCAGTGAACCCAAATGTTACAGTATCACCACCACCACACCACAGCACGAAAGGGCTTGTTTGGCCACTCAGTCTGCTCCAACATTAGTCCTTCAAGGTGTAACGCCTGTGGGCTGTGTTAAGTATTATTGTGGGTGGCAATTATTCTTCAAGGAGGCGGGCAACACATAAACTCTCCCCTTTATGATGCACACCCTCCCACAGACTTGCCATAGCATGGCTCTTATCCCACTGCAATCTCACGGTCTTACTAGAAAGACGGACTAAATATGCACAGTTTTACATATTACGAAGAGGCCGTGGGTGATTTTACTGATCTGCGCCGTAGTTAGCGCCATTGCCGACGATCGGACGACAACATTACCAATGAAGCGGAAGAACTCAAAAGCGGAAGCAACGGAGTACAGTACAGACCGTGATGCTCGCCCCTGCACGACTGCGGGCGCGCCTGGTACTAATTTCGAAGTCACCGCAGAGAAAACACGATCGCCAAATCACCGCACTTCTCCCACATCTTACGTTTCCCTTAGAAGGACTTGCGCGGGGCGACGGTCCTTGAAACGCGGCGGAAGCAGCGGCGATAGCGCCGGCGCAAGTTATACCAGCGCCGAGGCGAGTCGTCTAGCCGAGGGAAAAAAACTGCGAGCTGCATTGGTGCCAACTTGTCTGCCGGAGGATGGTTATACTTGGCTAAAATATGGCGAGAAACCGCTAATGAACCAGCCTAATTGCCTGCGGTGAGTCGTTTGTGGGTAAGGGCTTGTGGTTGCGCGAATTCAGTTTCAGGCGTATTCATTATTTTCCCCTTTTAAAACGCCCTACGTTCGTCCTCCTACATCAGGTCGTATTTCCGTTGTGCGAGTTCGGGCTTACAAGGAGCAGAGCCATGTCGTGCCAAGCGAACTGTTGATTGGCATGTCGACACGCAGCCGGCCAGTTACCATGTTTCGTTCACCGGCGAGCACAACCACGGCCCGTCTGCTCTCCTCGCAACAACTCCACTCGCCAGCTCGCCTGCTGCCTCCGATCTGGCGGGTAGTTGCAAAATAGGTGCTTCGTTAAGCGCGAAAGTGGCGACGGGTGTGTCAAAGAGTTTCTCGGTGAACGGATCGACCCTTGTGTCCCGTCGCAGGCCGAACCACGGGTTTCGGAAACTTCCGATGGTTCCGATGGGGTTCTCTACAGCCGTCGAAGCTGCTCTAGTTCCAGACGCGAACGCGAAAGCTGTTTCTGACGACACTCGCAATGAGCCGGACACCTGCAGAGTTGCTGGTTACAAGCCCAGCAACTACACTGACAATACACAAAATTCCTACACCTACATTTCCATACTAAACGGCAAAATTGCTTCATCCAAAATCCCCTCAAATTTCCATGATTCTTCCACTCCATTTTCTGGTGTCAGCCAGCTTATCCCTCCTGCCGGACCGGATTGCGAAAATAATGATGGAGAGCAGCAGGTGTATACCACATCAAATGAGAAATCTCACGCTCAGCATGAGCAATCTAATCAGATGGAGCTACTCCACCCTTCAAGCTCACACTCCCATACTCCACCATCCGACTCAGCTTCACCTGGATTTGAAGTCAAGCCTTTTTCAGCAACTCATCAGTGCTTTGAAGTTGCCATACCGCCGACACAATCGCCACCACCAGCAGCACCAGCAGCAACGGCACTTCCTCCCACAGAAAATATCCCCAGACCTGCTTCCCCTCAGACGGCTTCAGTTTCACCTGTCTGCTTATTTCATCAGTCATCCCCTATTCAAGCAGATCCTATACAACCTAATGCAGAGCACCGATCTCCTTCTCTTCACCCTCCGCTCGCTCCCTCACGCACTGCTGCTGGTCGCTGCCCTGATTCCTCTCCCTTCCGTGCTGCTCTTCCTCCTCCTACTCCTATTTATCCTTCTCCCTTCACCGCCACTGCTGTTTTCTGCTGCTCTTCCCAGCCTTTACAAGCAGGGTTGCATCAGTTCAAGCCGCCTTACCATGCTCAATACCAGACCCTACAGCAGCAGGAGGAGCAGGAGCAGGAGCAGCAGCAGCAGCCGGAGCAGCAGCAGCAGCAGCAGCAGCAGCAGCAGCAGCAGCAGCAGCAGCAGCAGCAGCAGCAGCAGCAGCAGCAGCAGCAGCAGCAGCAGCAGCAGCAGCAGCAGCAGCAGCAGCAGCAGCAGCAGCAGCAGCAGCAGCAGCAGCAGCAGCAACAGCAAGAACAGCAGCAGCAGGAGCAGCAGGAGCAGCAGCCGCAGCATCAGCTGCAGCATGTGGTGCTGCCAAGGGGTGGCAGCTTCCATGAGCAACCTTCACAACCACCACAGCAGCAGCATCTTCTCTTTCCATCCCCTCCTCCACCTCTCTCAGTACAGCCACCAGCAGCCCTTCTTCTCAGCCCACCTTCTTCTCAGCTGTCCCGCCAACCACCACCAATCCAGCCATCGCCCCCTCTTGCTTGTGACACTGCCACGACAGCACATCCAACCCCCCAATATGCATCTACCTCGTATACACCTGCATCGTATGCACCTTCCCCGTACTCACTCACACCGAGCCAGCCATTCCCCGTTTCCGCAACAAAACCCGCCCATTGCTGCTGCTGCTGCGGCAGCAGTGAAGCAAACCCCATAGGGCCTCCTATTTGCACTCCTGCTGATCCAGCGGAGGAAACCTCACAAGTGGAACGTTTTGGGTCTCTGGATACAGCCGCCGCAGCAGCAGCAGAGGCGGTGGCAGCAGAAGTGGTGGCGGCAGCACCGACAGCGTCGGCCGTGACAGAAAATCCAGACGGTTTGCTTATTGCAGCAGCTCAGCACGCGACCTTCGAGGCACCCCAAAAAGGGGCTTTGGCTGCAACAGCAGGCGGATCGCTTGCAGCAGTAGCAGCTCAGCACACGGGCCTGCCGCCGCCCACCTGTTCTCAACCACTGCTCACAGCACCTATGCCCTTTACAGGGGAGCCATGCATTGGCACTTCGCAAGAACCAGTTCTGCCGCCGCCCACCTGTTGCCCACCTGCTTCTGTGACCTTTGCAGCAAGTCATGCCTGTCAAAGACCAATGGACCCGGCAGTGCAAACCTGTTTTCAGCCTTCCATCTTCAGTCCAACTTTTGGTCCGGGGCACGCTTCACAGTCCACCGGCCATATTCAGTCTGATTCCCTTCCTTCACTAGATCCTCTTGTGCTGCCATCAACCCACCACGCTCTGCCATCAACCCGCCACGCTCTGCCATCAACCTGCCACGCTCTGCCATCAACCTGCCACGCTCTGCCATCAACCTGCCACGCTCTGCCATCAACCTGCCACGCTCTGCCATCAACCCACCACGCTCTGCCATCAACCTGCCACGCTCTGCCATCAACCTGCCACGCTCTGCCATCAACCTGCCACGCTCTGCCATCAACCTGCCACGCTCTGCCATCAACCTGCCACGCTCTGCCATCAACCTGCCACGCTCTGCCATCAACCTGCCACGCTCTGCCATCAACCTGCCACGCTCTGCCATCAACCTGCCACGCTCTGCCATCAACCTGCCACGCTCTGCCATCAACCTGCCACGCTCTGCCATCAACCTGCCACGCTCTGCCATCAACCTGCCACGCTCTGCCATCAACCTGCCACGCTCTGCCAGGTGTTACATCTGCGACTCTTGGTAACCACCCTGACCATCATCACTACCACTTCGGAAGCAGCAGTGACCGTGTGGGTTTGGCTGTTACTATGGTTACAGGGTTACCCGCAGCTGATGTTGCTGCGCCCTTGGTGCTATTCTCCAGTGCTGCAGCGGGATCTTCAGTTGGGCACGCTCAGCCTGCTTGCGCCACCACTCCTGCTAGCGAAACAGCTCTTCATTTGAATGCAACCACTGATCTGTCCCCGCTACAAAGCAATTCAGTTGAAGCAGCAAGACGGCCTGACCTTACAGCTGCTGAGGGTGGCGTTTGTGACTCTGGTGATGAAATGCTGGAGGATGTTTTTGGGGGCTGTGGCAACATAATGAGTCGTAGTGGTGGCAACAGTAATGGAGGCAACAATAGCGAGTCGTCTCCTGTGCGAAGCAATGTTACGGAAGATGCTAGCACTGCTTTGTTTGACATAGATACACTACTAGAAGAGGGGCTTTGGTTCAACCCTTCTGCTAATCTTGGTTGTAACACTATTGAGAAGGTGCAGTAGGCTTCGACAGCAATGCAGTAACGCCGCGTCGGCACCACCATTCTTTTGTTTGTTTGCTTTCCAGTTTGATTTTCTGGCCAAAACTGCAACATGTTTCTCTAATTTTACCCGTATTCTCCCGGACAAACCCCCCCCCCCCCCCCCCCATGATTGAGCACCCCCGGGTAGCTTGTGCGGGGTGGGTGTTATGGGCGACCTCGTTTCTACTATACCCCCCTTTAGCGCTGCAAGTGACCAGACAGGTGCCACATGGCATTTTCGAGGGGGTGATGACGTTAAAGCTCTGCATTTATCTCTAGTATATTGGCTGCTCTTAACTGTCTTCATTAGTTTCTCTCTTGTGCCCTAAGGGCGACGTCATGTTGTACAACTCTCTGTACAATCCTCTCAGAAATAGAATGCAACGGAATGATGAGATAAAGAGTGTGAGTGATACAAACAGCAAACCCTAACTGAGTTGTACTCACTAAATGTTGGGCTGAGAAATAGCCCTTAGGATCTTTGCAGGGGTGAACTCTGGGTACAACTGATGTAGTAGCGGAAGCGTTTAATGAAGAGTTGTGAACCACCTTGCGCTAGTATGTGAGGGCAAAGTTGATTAATTAAAGCAGAGAGATACAAGATTATATAAGAGTACAAGGAATACGAAGAGATACGTTCCAACTGTTTTACTGTTGCTGTTGCGGTTCGATACTGTGACGACTCGGGCAACTGCTCTGTAACGAGTCAGTTGTGTGTCCTTGTTGTCGTGCTGTACTTGTCAGGACAAAGGTCGCTGACCTTTGACTTTCGCGTAACCTCCAGCAACTGCTCAACCTCCGAGGGTTGACTCGCCAGTGCTTCGATATGCTTTGCTTCACTTCTGACTTGGTGTTTCGACACGACAGAGGCGCCTAGAGTTAAATGCTTCCAACACTAAAGAGCACCTCACTACAACCTATCACAAATATCAACAATTGACACACCCCCATAGGCTAAGTGAGGGGCATCAAGCAAGCAGGGTGAACAAACGGTCACAAGACATGTAATTTTTTTCTTACCTTAAATCTTTTGAAGATTGTGATTCGACTAGTAGAGGAGTTAGTTGTGAAGGAGTCAAACTCCTTGACATTCCTGCAGGTCTCTCCTATGACGACTGCACTACACACTCCTCGGAGAGTCGTGTCACAATCAGTCAAAGCAAGAAGCTAAGTAAGCTCAGGGTGGATCTCAAGGACACCACACAAATTCCGAGCACAAGCAAGCGACCACAAGGCCAGTTCAATATTTTACTAGGATATATAATAGCAAAGCACAACAAGCAGAGTAAGCAACGAGGCTACAGCAACCGAGGACCTGCCTTAAAAAGCCCTAACTGCACACAGATACAGTGGTGATCACCAAGCGCCAAGGCCTTGGTGAAGAGGTTAGCAGTGTTGGGCCCTGAGGCCACAAAGTCCAGGGGCACCTGGCCATGTCGCTGTAGCTCACGCAGGAGGAACTACCGAACGTCGATGTGCTTCACCCTTGTCTCCAGTCGAGACTCGCGACACAAGAGAATCATGGCCTTGTTGTCAGCGAACAAGGTCGGAGCAGTGCGAGGTCGCTCACCACGGTCAGCGAGTAAGAAGGTCAACCAGCGAAGCTCCTGAGCAGCCATAGCACCGGCATAGATCTCTGCCTCTGCACTGGACGAAGCCACCGGTGACGACCGTTTGGACCTCCACGACACAGCCCCAGCTCCCAGACTGAAACATTAACCCTGGTTCGAGCGTGTCAGAATATGTTTTATATATATTTCTGTATAAGTGCATGTAGTTCTAGCTGTAGTGTAGTTACTGTAGTTATTGTTACAGACTATTGGTGGTGCACCTTTCATTGCTTGTTTGTTCTCTATTTGTACCATTCGCTCAATACTTAAACTCCTCCTTGCTCCAAAAAAAAAAAAAAAAAAAAAAAAAAACCTAAGTTCTTAAGCTACTCACGCCATGGCTCCTAAGTGTAACTTACACTAGCTACTTGACATGTTATCAGAGTGGTTACTTTCCTAGGACCTTTCTCAATGGGCCCACCGTTCGCTTCCGCTGCTGTTCTTTCAGTCGCGCGCCCCAGGCGCGTGACTATTTTCCTGCCTGTCGCGCACCCCGGGCGCGCGACGTTTTCTGCCCGCCACGCGCCCCAGGCGCGCGGCGGTTTTCTACCCGCCGGGGTGCGCGACAGTTTGCACCCGTGCACCGCCTCGTAGCACCCGCGCGCCGCCCCGTGGCACCCGCGCGCCGCCCCGCTGCACCCGCGCGCCGCCCCGTGGCACCCGTGCGCCGCCCCGGTGCACCCGCGTGCCGCCCCGTGCACCAGTGCGCCGCCCCGTGCACCCGCGCGCCGCCCCGTGCACCCGCGCGCCGCCCATCTGCAGCCGCGGGGCAGCTTCTCCCCCCCCCCCCCCCCCCGCCCCTCCCTTCTCCTTCCTCTCCCTGCTACGCGTGTAGCCATGGGGGGGAGGGTGTGGGGGTGGCGGGTATGGGGGTGGCGGGTGTGAGTAATCTGCTGCTGCTCCTCCTCCTCCTCCTCCTCTCTCTCCCACTGCTTCAACATCCACTGAGGGGGGGAGGGTGTCGGGGAGCTTAAGGAGTGGCGCTAGGGATGCAAAAGGGGGTGTGGGACAATGGGGGGGGGGGGGTTGAAAGGAGGTAGCCGCCATGAATCCAGCAGCTCCAGTAGTCCGGAAGCCCTTGCTCCAGTAGCCATGAGCCCGTTGCTCCAGTCACCCGTGGGTCAGTTGCTTCAGCCGCTCGTCTAGCCGCGGAGCCAGTTACTCCAGTAGTCCGCATGCCCTTCCTCCGGTAGCCTGTGTGCCAGCTGCTCCAGTCGCCCGTGTGCCAGCAGCTTCAGCTGGCGCCTCCTACCTCCTCTCCTCTCATAGTCCCTCCTCCTCCTCACTTGCCCTCTCCGTCTGCTGCGCTCTGCAGGGTGTACCACTTCAGGGGGTGTTCTGCACATGGCTATTCCTGCATGCACTTAGGGGGTGTGTCAGAATATATATCATATATATTTTTGTCAGTAGAGCTACACTGTGAGATCCCCGATCGATCCTGGGGGGGGTTACAGGCGCGTTTGCCTGGGGGGTTATGGGCGCACTGACCCGCTACTGAAACAAGCCCTTTTATCCCAATGGTCTAGTGGTTGGGATTCTGACAATTTTTGTAGTGCATGTATTTCTAGCTGTAGTGTAGTTACTATAGTTATTATTACAAACTGTTGGTGATGCACCTTTCCTTGCTTGTTTGTTCTCTATTTGTACCCATTGCTCAATAGTGAAGCTCCTCCTTCTTGCTCTAAAAACAAAATAAAATCCTAAGTTCCTAAGCTACTCAAGCCATGGCTCCTAAGCCTAACTTACTCTAGCTACTTCACAGAGCGCTGAGTCTCCACGTCGTCAGCGTAAGAAGAGTCATAGAGGCCAGTCAGCTCAATTGGTCGAGTCCCTCCAAGCACAAGCCCCATGCCTGATATAGTCGCCAGGTACTTCGCCACCCTCACGACAGTCGTCCAGTGATCAGGACAGTGCATCCCAGCTCCAACAAAGCGAGAGAGGACACTAAGAGGGTAGGCGAGGTCCGGGCGAGTATAGGTCATCAGGTACATGATTCAGTCCACAAGCTCTGGGTAGGGACCCCTGGGCTCAAAGGGCTTGTCGGGGAAGGGGCCAGTCAGTTTGTGGTTTACAGCAAGAGGAGTGGGCTGTGTGGTGGAGTGCTAAAGTCCGAACTGCAGAAGGGTCTATTGCACCATGTGTGACTGCGCCAATGTGATGGTGCGAGCGGCTCTGTCCCTAGTGATCTGCAGGCCAAGGTAGCACTGCAGTTCACCAAGGTCAGTGCACGTGTGTCTCTTCTGCAGTTCAGACTTCACCTCAGCCAGAGGTGCCCTGCCTGGTGTAGCAAAGACCAAGTCGGCGACGTAGACGAGTATAAAGAAACGAGTGGAGCCGGCACGAACAAACAGTGACGAGTCAGCAGAGGAAGGGCGAAACCCTAGGTCACGAGGCGTGGAGCAAAGAGTGTCATGCCACTCACAGGGAAATTGGCGAAGACCGTAGACTGGTCGCCTCAGGCTCCACTGGGTCTCAAGAGGGAAAGTACTAGTGAAACCGGGAGGACGGTGTAGCCAGATCTCCTGGTGCAGTCGTCTCTGGAGAAAGGCAGTGGAGAAGTCGAGGGAGTGGAGCTCGTAATCATGTTGTGCTACTACGTATAGTAACACCCGAAGTGTAGTAATCTTCGGGGTCGGAGCGAAGGTCTGAAAGAAATCAACTTCCTTGCGCTGACTGAAGCCTCTCGCCACATAGCGCGCCTTGAACACCGGGGGTGATCCAGGTGACCGCTTCACCTTGAAGAGCCACATGCCATCGACTACGTTCGCCCGAGGAGGGGGAACTGCGTCGACGTACGTGCCTGTGGATCTCTAAGATGCCAACTCTCAGTCCATGGCCGCCTTCCTCTGA